AGCACTCAGGAAGCAGAGACAGGTGGATCTTTGAGTTCAGTGACAGCCTGCTTTACACATAGAGTTCCAGGCATGCCAAGGTTATATGCTGGGACCCTGTCTCAAAAAATTTTTTTAAACAGATTTAAGCCCAGGGGTTAATAGAAAGGCACTCAGGGAGACCACACACCCAAGTGTCATATTTGGGTGCCTTAGCAGGAACCATATACAGTTTTTGTAGCTTTTGAAATTGTACTGTCCAAAATTATTCTAAAAAACTGTTTTTCTTTTTCTTTTTTTTTTTGAAAGATTTATTATATATGAATGCACTGTAGCTGTCTTCCGACACACCAGAAGAGGGCATCAGATCTCATTACAGATGGTTGTGAGCCACCATGTGGTTGCTGGAATTTGAACCCAGGACCTCTGGAAGTGCAGTCAGTGCTCTTAACCACTGAGCCATCTCTCCAGCCCCTAAAAAACTGTTCTTCATAAATGAAATCATCGAGTGGCTCTTGAGGTGCAAAGGCCTTGGATAGGATTACAATCTAATAAGGTAAAACTATGGGTCACAAAGTTGCACAAGGAAAATACGACATGGTTTTTATTATAAATAGAGCGGTCTTATAAAGTTGCGTGTTTATGGCTGTTATGTACTCTTAGGCCTCCAACACGGTTCATCGCACTTTTAGTGTGCTTATTTTAATTATCTATATGGAAGGAATAGTCGTGTAGGTGATCACAGCATTTTTCTAATTGAGCTGGGTCCTTGCCTCTGTCTCTGGGCTTCCATCCCCAGCTCAGGAAGAGGAAGCAGAGAGAGGCAGAACAAGATCTGTGAAGAGACTGTCAGGGACTGCTCACTGGGGACTCATGGGAACTGACCTGAGAGACCACTGTTCTTGGACAGATGGTGGTTAATTGGCATATATCTCCCACTTTTGCTTTGCTGCTGACAAGTTCTTTGTTACCCAGGCTGGTCAGTCATCCTCCTGTCTCATCCCCAGGAACAGCTGGAACCAAAGGTGTCGGCAATTGCCCCAGCTTATTTTGAAGTTTTACTTTGAAAAAAATTCTCTTTGGAAATGCGACCCTCAAGGGGGCATTTTCTACTTCTTGAGAACAGTCTACATACCTGCTGGGAACAGGAAAAACCCGCTTGCCCTGTGTATACCGTCCTCAGGGATACATAGCCTCCTCAGTAGCCTCCCGCCTCCTCACAATGGCCCCTAGCAAGATTCCCTTGGGAAGCCAAACACTTGTTTCTTTTCTTAGTTCTGATCCATCCATTCTAAGGAATCCATGAAAGAATTGAAGCTTCCCTTCTGAAAGTAGAGTTAAAATTATTTAGGGGTCCTTTTCTTTAATGTTTTCTCTCTTCCCGACAGCGCCTTTCCCTTTCCCTGCTTTGCTGTGTATTTATTCCCAGTGCTGTCCTCGACAGAATCATTCTATATGCTCATGTGCACACGCTTCTTTGTATATTTAGATACACGTTGCAAGTGTGCCAATATGTACTTCTCACAAGACTTAGTAATGGATGTCTAAAATAATGGGGGCTCACTAAAGAAATGGGGCTGGAGAGGTAGCTCAGTCGGTAGAATACTTGCCTGGCAGACACAAAGCTCTGGGTTCGATACCCAGCACCCTACAGACAGGGTATGCTAGTATTTGTTAGCACTTGTGAAGTTGAAGCTAAAGGATCATAAGTTCAAGTCTATCCTTGACAACATAGCAAGCCTGAGGCCTGTGTGAGTTCTATAGAGCGTCTTTTGGAGTGAGGGGTCGATGTGTATGCTGTTAATCTCAGTACTCAGGAGGCAGAGGCAGGAAGACCTTTGTGAGTTCTAGACCAGCCTGTTCTACATACTGAGTTCCAAAACAGCCAGGGTTACAAAGACAGACCCTGGCTCAAAACAAATAAGTAAATAGCAAACTTTCAAGGTTTCTTCCATCACAAGTGTTCTGCCCAATTCAGGAATTGGATGAAATGGAGATTGGGTGAGTGACTTAGCAACTGAACTAGGTTACCACAAGGCTGTGGATTATCCTATAAAGCAAACACAGGTCATAGCGCTGCCCACTAGGCCTCATGCAGTGGTGTGTTATAGACAATGTGGTTCTTCTTATGGGCTGAGCTGTCAGGCTTAGGACTGAGGTGCCTGGACAGGCATTTGGGGCAAGGTAGTCAGTCTTGTTGCTGTTGGCTGCTGAAGGTGGTACCGTGACATCTTTCCCACATCTGATAGGCTGCACAGGAAGATTGACCCATGCCAGCCACGGTGCTTCACCCATTCTGCAGCACAGCCCTAGTGTACAGAGCAGGATGCACTGAGGCCAGAGCCTGACCACAATGCATGATGCTCTCCACAGCCCAAACTTCTCCAGAAGCCACCAGGCCCAACACTTCTGATGTTGCCAGTCAGTGCAGCAACCTTGACTTCAATACCTTTGGACCACCTCTTTGTGTCCTATGGGCACCATGAGGACATTGTAGAAGGACTTTCACTCTACACAGGGAACAGAGCAGGAAAGGGGGAACACGTGTCTCTTGCATAATGGGCCCCATAGTCTGGTAGCTTCTCTAACAGAAACTTCTAACAGTTCAGTAAGATGTTGGTAAGGGATGGATGCCTCCACAGAACCTGGTGAAGAATCGATTCCCATTTCCAGCTGAAGGTGGCTGCTAATGTCCCTTGAGTTGAGCCCCATGACATCTTCCTTTTATAACTCCCCCCTCCCAAGACAGGGTTTCTCTGTGTGGCCTTGGCTGTCCTGGAACTCACTTTGATGACCAGACTGGCCTTCAACTCAAGAGGTTTGCCTGTCTCCGCCTCCCGAGTGCTGGGATTAAAGTTGTGAAGCACCATACCCAGCTTTAAAGCTATGCTCTGAGTTCAAGGGGGCACGGATTTAAGGAGTCCTCTGCAGTGCTCTATGGTGGGTGTTTATACTATGGGACTTGTGTCTCATGACTGCTGCACAGCGAGCACTCTCCAGCCGGCACCCCCTCCTTCCAGACATTCTAAAAGGAAAATGTGGGGCTTGTTCAGGAGTCAGTGGAGGATTGGGTGAGTTTGGGGTCCCCTTTGAAGATTCAGAGCAGCTCAGTAGACCTCATGCTCCTGAAGAAGCTGGGGTTGAGCTTCCTGAGGTGGGGAACCCAGGCTTTGTCCTGTTCTCCAAGCCTCACTGGCCTGTAAGGTGCACTACTCGGGTCAGTCCACACTAGTGCTTGGGGGAGTGGCTGAGCTCTGAAGTAGTAGTAGCAGCACTGACACCTTCTTAGTAGTTACTGAAATCATGAGTCAGCTTTTGAAGCTGTGGAGTTCTGAGATGTTCCATCCAGGTAGTATGTCTGTTACTCATGACTGAACACATGTTTTTTAAATCCTGTCATGTGTACGTGCGTGCAGGATGTGTGTAGCACCATGTATATGCGGAGGCCAGAGGACGGCTTGTGGGTTATCTCCATGCACACGCAGATCTCAGGCAGCAGACACAGGCTCCCAGAGTTAGCAGCCAGTGCCTTCCATGCTGAGCACTCTCCCAGCCCCAGGGTGTCGTTCTGATGTCTGTGTTCTGTTGCCTGCTCTGCTTGCTCACTATCTCACATGACCCAGGCTTGTTTGGTTTTTCTTCACTCTCATAATAAATGCCAGTCCTTGTCATGATCCCATGTGTGGTGTGGCCTCAAAAGCTCTTGGGGTGCACATGGAAACAGCAGACACACCCAGATCCTCTCTGCCCAGGAGCTGGCAGAGCCATGCAGCCAGCTCTAGGTTCATGTCCCTGGTGGTGCCACGGGGAGCGGACTCCTGGGCATTTGCCATTTCTTGGGTTCTCATAAGAAGCCCGTCCTCTCTCCTCACTGGGGCCCTTCCTTCTTCCTTCTTCCTGTTTAGAATTCTGTCTCTACCTCATGGCCTTGTCATCCTTAATGAGGAAACGAGAGTTTGAGGTGCCAGGTATGTACCATGATGGCAGTGCACCTGGTCCTATGAGGTGACCCTCAGTTTTATATCCCCAAGACTCCACCTTTAGAGTCTTTTGTACTTGTTTTCTCAGCCTCTTTGATTCCCTGGATGATCTTCTGAGGCATGATGGATATTGCCCAGGTGGCAGATGTGGCTTTGCCCATAACCACCCTGCAGCTTTCCTGAACGCCACTGATTCCCAGGCGCAGCCGAAACCGCAGCAGAGTTTATTTTCTATCACTGTGAGACATTCTCAACAAGTTTTCTAACATAAGTGGGGTGGGCCTGGGAGACTGTGGGTTTGGGAACAGTGGGCACTTCTGCTGTTGGCAGTTACCTGGTTGAAGTGAAGGCTGCTGAGCAGAAGGTGGATTCATGCTGCCCTGGAGTTCAAGCAAGGGACCTCGGTACCTGGGCGTGGCAGCCTGGCTCCCACTTACAAGGCCTGAGGCCTTGGTGGACACCTGACTTGCAAGTGGCTTCTAAAGGATATATCTTGGGATTGGGACTGATGGTGGCTCCCCTGTGGCCAGATCAAACAGGGTTTGTGGGTCAGGATTATGTGGGCTTGATGCTGGCCACCAGTGATGGTTGTGATCCTGCCATAGGACCTGACCTTTGTGTGGCTCAAAGCTTGACAGTGAGATCCTTGCCTATCTTCAGCAGCTGGGCAGCTGGCAGTAGCACCACCCTTCCACCTGAATGCTAAAACATGTTAGATGCCAAGCATCCTGCCAAGCCACCTGAACCCTGCCATGTCACCAAGAACAGAGGTTTCTCTGCTCTTTCATGGAGCAGTCAGGGGCAGACTCTTGAGAGATGAGGTATCCGGAGACCCAAGGAGGTGAGAAAGTATGCACATAAATTGTCCTTCAGATGGAGTCTGCGGGGTGTTGGTGAGGGACAAGGCTTTCAAAGTATCCAGGTGGGGGAAGCTCGGGCGTCCCATGAGGACCAGGTCTTGACTGGTCACACAGCTGTTATTGGGTACCCAGGAAGGGAGACTGGGTACCATTGCATTTCACACAGTGTTAGAATTCCCACTCAGACTAGCAAAAATTGGTGCCACCTTTAATTTGGAGTGACTTGAAACCTATGTGTGCTTTTGTATCTTGGTTAAAGAGAGAAAGCAAATTTCAGTTTTTGCTCCCCTTTCCATCAGATCTGTATGGGTGGGTACATGAAATGCCAAGGGATCCAGGAACTTGGGGAAATTTTCTATAGGAAACTATAAATATGTTTAAATATGGGAATGGGAGAGGCCCTGGATGCAGTTCCCAACACCGCCACAACAACAAAAGTTTAACTATGCTCAAACTAGCTGCATGGTATCTAGACTGAGGGTCCCAGCCCCTGAGGCCCATGCTGTTAGAAACAGGCAGACTGTAGATAGAGACCACCAGGACTGTGTAGGTAGAAAGTCTGCCACCCAGCCTGCTTTTCAGCTTTTTTTACCTGAGTTGCCTATAGCTGGCCCATACCAGGGAGCAGCTGTGGTCCAGTAGGGTCCCCTAGATCTGGATCTAGATTCTGCTTCTCAGACCAGGGTTTTATTTGCTTCTTTCTCCGAGTTTGTGATCCAGCTGTATCTTCTGAGGCCTGAGCCTTTTGGCCTCCAGGACTGTCACTGGCAGACGGCTGTGGTGGAACTGCTCCTTTCCGAAATACCCTCAGCTGCTGAAGAAGGTGACTCTTCCCGGTACAGTACCTGTGACAAAGAATAAGCAACCTAAGCCCTGTCACCTGATGGCCAGAACTCCCAACACTGAAACAGGAATGTCTTTGGTCTTTCAGTGTCCATTCCAAAGCAAGGGCAATGCCTGACCGCGCTGCAGTTTGGCTGGGAAGCATGTGGGATAACACTCCTTATGGCCTTTTCTCTTTCTAATGGGCATTGGCCTGATTAATTTTATGTCAACTTGCTACAAGCTAGAGTCATCTGAAAGGAGGGGAACCTTAACTAAGAAAAAGTCTCCATAAAATCCAACTGTAAGGCATTTTCTTAGTGATCGACGGAGAGGGCCCAGCCCATTGCAGATGGGTTACTATCCCTGGGCTGCTGGTCCTGGGGCCTATAAGAAAGCAGGTTGTGCAAGCCATGAGAAGTACATGAGTGAGTCAGCAGCACCCTCCAAGACAAGATTCTCTCTGTAGACCAGGCTGGCCTGTGACTCACAGGATCTGCCTGCCTCTGCCAATACGTCCCAGCCTGTTTTCCTAGGATGTCCACATTCTACGTGCTCTGTACCTCATTTACAGCCTGAGCTCTAACTCCCAGTGCTGTGGGCAGCGGGGACCATATTTCTCATTCACCATGGTCTGGGCCCCAGGCATGTCCCTGATTGGATGCTGCTCTCTAACCAGAACTTTTCACATCTAGCTAACCTCTGACCCTACACTTCCTCTTCTTCTGGGACCAGCAGCAGGGCAATCAAACTAGGGAGCTGTTTTTAGAGGCTTGAGTAAGCTGCCGTTGGTGGGGAGGCTCCCCTATGACACGTTGTAAAACACAGTGATACCTGTTCCCACCACACTAGAGGCTTCCCTATGACACATTGTAAAACACAGTGATACCCACTCCCACCACACCGGATGCTGGCTTACATGTGTAGGGGCCAGGGCACAGCAAGGGAGTGTCCCTAGGCAGAGGAAGAGACTGTAAAGCTACCTTTGTTCCCAGGAGGATGCCACCTGTACTGAGCCTGCTGATTCCACTTCCTCCTCACTGTCAGAGGAGCTATGTTCAGAGCTGGGAGTAAAAAGAAATGGATTCTTAGGATGGTCTCCAGCTTCCGTGCCAGGCCTGCCCCTCACCTTCTCATCCAGGGACCTCCCTGGGAGTTCAAGACAGGTGGAAGTCAGTCAAAGCCAAGGAACCACTTGGCTTCCTGCCATGTGCTGATGGGAAGGTACAGTGTGCTCAAGCCAGATTAGCTTTGCCTTCTGTCCCTCCTTCCCGCCCGAGGCACAGTTCCTAGCACTGCTTTGTACCTCTCCTGGGACTGGTGATCTTGTAGTTCTGACGGTTCTGTCTGCCGCAGGTCAATGAAGACGGTGGAAGGCTCTGTCTTCAGCCTCCTACTCTCTGCTAGTTTCTGGATTTGCTCAGGTGGAAAGCCAGGCTCTGCTGAAGCACTTCTGCAATGGGAGGTTGCGGGTGGCCATCCTATGTGATTCCCTGCCACCTGATGGGCTGGTGGAATCAACAGTGCTCATAGCAGCTACTGACAGTGTCCCTGTTGTGTGCTGGTGAGCACTTGGAACCTATGTGTTCTCACAGCCACCATCAGGACAGGCCACATAAGAACAGGACATACTACCCTATAGAACTGGACAAGGCTGACATGCTGCACATCAGCTAGGCTGGCAGGCAGGCCCGTCATCCCAAGTGCCTGGGAAACTGAGGCAGGAGGATGTAAAGTTTAAGGCCTGGGCAAGACTTTATACATATACTTTTTGTTTGTTTTTCAAGACATAGTTTCTCTGTGTAGCCTTAGCTACTCTGGAACTTGTTCTGTAGACCAGGGTGGCCTCTAACTCATAGAGATCCACCTGCATCTGCCTCCCAAGTGCTGGGATTAAAGGTGTGTACCACCGCCGCCCAGTTTATACATGTATTTTAAAAGTGTGTGTATTTGCTTGCATACATGACTATACACTATTTATATGCCTGGTACTCATGGAGACCAGAGAGGACACCAGATTCACAGAACTGTAGTTGCAGACAGTTGTAAGTCACTATGTGGGTACTGGGAATCAAGCCTGTATCCTTCAGAAGAACAATCAGTGCCTCTAACTACTGGGCCATCTCTCTGGCCTCCTAGAAAGACCATAAAAAGTAAAAAGAGGCTAGACAAATAGCTCAGAGGTTAAGAGCACTGACTGCTCTTCCAGAGGTCCTGAGTTCAATTCCCAACAATCACGTGGTGACTCACAACCATCTGTAATGGGAACCGATGCCCTCTTCTGGTGTGTATAAAGACAATCTACAGTGTACTCATATACTTAAAATAAATAAATCTAAACAAAATCAAAGTAAAAAGAAGGCTGGGGTTTGTGGGGTGGTGGTGCACACCTTTAGTCCCAGCAGTTAGGAAGCAGAGGCATGGGGGAATCTCTGTGAGTTCACAGCTAGCCTGGTCTGCAGAGCAAGTTCTAGAACAGTCAGAAAAACCCTGTTTTGAAAAACAAAAACAAACAAACCAACCCAACAACAACAAAAGAGTTGAAAGAAGATTTGTGATGCGGCACAGTGGTAGAGCCAAGCATGTGAGAAGCCTAGGCTCACTCCTCGTAGCATAAATAAACCTCCATCTGTTCTGTTCAGTTGGAGGCCACTGAGCACAGAGGTGGCTGTTTATGTATTTAAGCTAATCATTTCCAGTAGACCTGGAAATTAAATAGTCCTCATCCCATTAGTGGCATTTCCGGTGCTTAGTAGTCATCTGGAGCTGGTGGACTTCATACTGGAAAGCACAGGCCTAGCCATGTCTGCTCCTCCTGCTAGCCAGGCAGAACCTACAACTACTTCACGGAAAAGGCTTCTAGACTCCTGACAGCAGAGGGAGCAGTAATGTGGGAAGGGCAGGCCTCAGGGGACCCATCTCCACCTCTGCCACCCCTCCACACCCCCCCACCCCACCCCCCACCCTTCCCATCCCCCGCTTCACTCTGTTCCTCCATGTCTAGGACAGGTTGCTGCCCACAGCCCTTTCATCCTTCCAGGCCATCCTGTTCCCACTGGTCATGTAGATAGTGAAGACAAAGTGTCTTTAGCATTAGGGAACAAGACACAGCTCTGCCATTGATGGATTGGGACAGACACGGCAATCGGAACCTCAGTTTTCCCATGAGGAAAAACAGAAAATGGAGCATCTGCATAATTAGGTTCTTTAGTCAAAAAAAGTATATGCCCAGTGGCCCAACAAAAGGCCCAATCAGCACTGCCCAGAGGCTGGTTGGTTCTAAGGAGATGGCTGTGACTGCTCGGAAGTCTCACCTGATTCTAGCTACCTGCTCTTCTGTGTCTTGGAGCTTGTCAGCAGATACCTTCCAGGTAGGGTTGCTGACTCTGGACTGAGTGGCACACAGGAGAGCCAGCTGTTCCAGGAGTATGTCCTGGGAGGGTCCAGTGCTGTGCCCTGGGGATAGCCAGGAGAAACACTGATAAGCTCAGGTCTGCCTACCTCTCAGAGGCTGGGCTTCAGGATCCAATGTGTCCCACCCTAGTTCGTCCTGAGGCTTCCAGCTCTAATTGGCAAAGTCAAGGGTAGTCGTGTCTTCAATAGGGGCCGCTCCATTTGAGTCTTGTGACATAGGGTCAGACGTGATCATAGTGAACAGATGTTTGCAGTTTTCAAAATGTACAGCCAAACAGGCTTATCAATTATAATCAATTATAGATCAATTGATTGTGTGTGTGTGTGTGTGTGTGTGTGTGTATGTGTGTGTGTGCGTGCACTTAGGAATGAACCCAGGGCCTGTGCATGTTACCAAGCACTCTGTTCCTGGGCTATATCCCTACCCTCTTATACTATCTTTCTTACTTTTTTTTTTTTTTTTTTTTTTTGAAACAGGGTTTCTCTGTATAGCCCTGGCTGTCCTGGAACTCACTCTGTGTAGACCAGGCTGCTCTTGAACTCACAGAGTGAAGCCTGGCTCTGTGCACCACCTGAGTGCACCACCACTACCCTGCTCATACGACATCTTTCTGTGAATACAGTTTGTTACTGAGCTGAGGACACTATGACAAGCTTGACTTAGCTAGACCCCTATTGAACATGGGCTATTTCCAAGTTTTCAGAGTTTTAAAGTACATAGCCATGAGCGTCCTGGGGTATGTGTTTACAAGAGATTTTCCAAATGGAATAGCTTGGCTGGTGGAAGTGGCACTTGGGAGGTAGAAGCAAGAAGATCAGGAGTTCAAAGCCAGTTTCAGGTATAGAATGAATTTGAGTCAGCCTGGGCTACATGTCTCAACAAAATAAAACTAAACAAAAAGGAACAGCTTGATCAAAGAGCCATGAACATTTAAAAAAAAAAAAAGACTATTTCCTACCGTGGCACCTTCCACAGAGGGAGTTCTTGCAGAGGACTGCTTTGCCATACCCTGAAGCTCTGCCGACACACCACTTGCTGTCACATACTCATTAGTGGCAGACCTTTGAAGTCTGCAACAGGAGGATTGTGAAGAGCTCCAGGACAGCCTGAGCTACAGAGTGAGACCCTGTCTCAAAAACAGATATGGTGGTGATATACCTTTCATATACTCAGAAGGCAGAGACAGGCAGATCTTTCTGAGTTCAATGCATCAAGTTCCAGGTCTGCCTGGGCTAAACAGTGAGTCCTTGTCTCAAACACAAAACAGAGCTAGGGCTAAAGAGATAAGCTCAGTGATTAAGAGCACTGGGTGTTCTTGCTGAGTACCTGGCGTCAATGCTAAGCATTCACAAGGTAGCTCATGACTGTATGGAACTCCAATTCCAGATGATCAGCTGTCCTCTTCTGGTGCGTGCACAGACTTGCATCTATATGGTTCATATACATACATGCATATAAGAAAAAATAAAAATAAACTTTAAAAAGTGTCTTGTTTCAAACAGCCCAGAGGCTGTTGGTCTAGTGAGTCTTTGGTCTGGAATAACCTCTGACCTTGTTCCTCAGCTCAGATGTGCTTCCACCTGCTGTTGGGGGCCTATGTGGGTGGGTGGGTGGGGACATGAGATGCTTCTGCCTTTTACAGAGCTGCTCTCAGCAAGGTCATGAGGACAGTGAGTATGACATCCTCTGCCTTCATTTTCTAATAAAGTGAGGGATGCAGAAGTGTGAAAGCTGCCTGAAGGGGAGAAAGGGGAAAAGGAAGGAGGCTGGAGGAAGAAAAATGGTGAGCCACAGGCAGGCCAATTTTGAAGGCCTGAACATGCCTGGCAGATCAGGCAGCCACGTGTATGATGAATGAATGAAATCTTTGTAAGGCCCATTGAAATGTGTGCTGAGGGTAGTAAGGGGCAGACAGACCCTGCCCATCCCAAAGCCCTGCCATTGAGGCTGGGAAGGAGGTGGGGACCGGCTTGGGCTTCAGGGTTGAGAGTCAGACCTTGGTCTTGGCAGCGGTCAGCTAACCACCATGCACTTCTGGATGCACTGTCACCCTGGCTGTCTTGTTGCCCTGGCAGACTCTGAAGGATATAATCCAAGTCCCAGCCTTCAAGTTGCTGAAATGATAACATTGATTCCAGGGCTGCAGGAAGTCCTGCAGGAGCCCCCGCTTTCACAGCAGCTGCAGCCAACAGAGGGTGTCATGATCATCCATTGTAGTGAGGAGGGCAAACAGGAAAAAGTTTAGCTTAGGAAACACTCCCATTGTAACAATGCACTTGGCAGTGTAGTTCCTTCATGTACTATACAGACAAAGCCCTTTTCAAACACTGGACCTAGCAACCTAAGTCCCTTGACACCCCTGACCTGCATCAAGCTACAGGAATTCCCTTCTCTCTGGATTTATGGCGTAAATCTTTCCCCTCAACTCCCTAACAATCAAATTTAGACAGTTTCTATTCAAGCGTATTCCCAGTGTATCTAGATATGAGGAAGAGAAGGGGCTATCTTGCCTGAACTGATTTTGAGCGTAAAGGCAGTAAGAAAAAGACTGTGTCTCTAATAATCTTTTAAGAAGGACCTCCTATTTGCTGTAACCTTGTGCCTGTGCATAACTCGGCATTCAAGTGATTAAAATCTGATGCACTGTGGGAAAGGAACATGTGCAGTAGGAAAATAAAACAATCAAAATACAGAACCATACAATTTACGCCCTTAGTAGCCAGGCCCTCTTCCTCTAGACCTCATCAAATGAAGCCCTGTCAAACTTGACAGTGTATAGCCTTTTATCTGTTGTTTTCAAGCTCCAGTAAAGTTATCCTGCTTCAAAAGATAACTTTGCACATTTGTGTGAGCCTTTGTTTTCAGATCCTTGGATAAGGGATTAACAACCTGGAAGCATCCAACCCAGACTCCAACCACCATTAACAGTAGGGTGGTGTTTGGAGTTTGGGTTTATCTAGCAAATGAATGTCCTGTCTGTTGTGACTGATTACACACTGAGCCAATCCTTTAAAGTGAGACCTACATTTCTTGACACCTCCTTATTTAAGCGGCTTTTATAGGGGTCAGGTGTCAATGCTTTGGGGCATAAAGATGGCTAACCTGGAGGACGCCCCATTTTTTTTTCAGACATAATCTCATTATAGCCCAGGCTGATTTTGAACTATGTAGCCAAGGATGACCTTTAATGTCTGATCCTCCAACCTTCGTCTCCCAAGCTCTGGAATTACAGGTGTACACCCATTTTGTGCATGCAAGGTAAGCACTCTACCACTGAGGCACATTCTAGCCTTTTCCATCATGTAATTTTGTTTTGTTTTTTTGAGACGGGGTCTCTCTGTGTAGCCTTGGCTGTCCTGGAACTCACTCTGTAGACCAGGCTGTCTCTGCCTCCCTACACCCAAATCACCATGTAATTTTTAAGCTGTCTAGGTTCACATCAATTTAAGATGTTTGAAAAGTTCAGCAACTTTAAGAAGCTGGTGGCTCAAGCAGGTGCTTAACCTGGAAAGCCTGGCCCAGATGGCTTTGCAGGCATTGGTATGATGGAGGGTGGAGGCAAGGGACCTACGATGAATGCTTACATGTGACCTTTCAAATTCCTTCAGCTCTATAGGTGAGGAAGAACTAAAGTCGTGAGGACGAACAGAGGGAAATTGTTAAGTAAACAGCAATGAAGAATTCATGCATGTCTCCATGCTAGCACTCTGTACAATGTGAAGTGATGCATGGGTGAGATGCGTGGTTTCCATGCCACACTGGACCATCTTCCAGTATGTCTACCTGCATAGCGCACCAGGATACTCTTCTCTTTGAAAACTGGGCTAGTATGAAGAGTTTCTTTCCTGTCCAGTGGGCAGGGTTACCTCATAAATCGCAGCTGTGCTCGCCACAGGCTGCCTACCACTATAATTGGGGAACAGCTCCGCCATGGAGGGACACAGAGCCACTGCTGTGGTTTACAGATCTGCTTTCCCAGTGGTCCTCACACTCCTCAGAGGAGTGCCTCTCCCACTCCCAGCCCATCTCCCTGACAGTGCATGCTAATGTACTTAGTGTGACTGGACAGCTGTTTCTGGCATGTGATGTCTGCCCCTTAGGACCTCCCTTTTGCAGCACTGCTTGTCAGCATGACTGACCATCAGCATTCATACCTGGGTCATTTCTGTGTTCTCTAAAGAAGGCTATTGCTACTAATTCTCCTTGAGGTAAGCTCCATGCCAGTCTATCCCACACTGTTCCAGGAGCAGCAGGTGGACTTGGGCTCTGGGCCTTAGGTCCTGAGGAGCTGCTTCCAGCCTCAACAGTGTGGCAAGAATGTGCCCATGTAGTGGGGACTGACTTGAGGGCAGGCTGGGCCGTGAGGACACCTACCTTGAGTGAGAGAACTGGCCATCCTTCCCGAGACAGCTCTGAGGTTGCTTCTGGTCCTAACTCTGCAGTCTGGCCTTGGTCACCACAGGCTGGGCTCTGAGCAGACTGGGTCACTTTCTGAAGGATATCTCTCTCTATCATCTTCCTCCTCTCCCTGCGGAGGGCTCTGCGCTTTGTAGAGTTTCTAAAATCAGTATCTGAGGGCTCTGTCTTCAGCTCTCCTTCCAAAGGAAAGGTGGCTTCTTCTTCCTGGGAACACCATGGAGGACTCTGGGATCCTCTGGGCTTAGACAGGCTTCTAAGGCTGTCTTCCAGCCAAGCAGGTGCCTCCTCAGCATCCACAAGGATTGGGCTGCTCTTGACACAGCTCTGGCAAGCCCAGCCAGGGTCTCTTCTCTCCTGACAGGCCAAGTCCGTGGATCTTACCATCTGGTCACTTCTGGGTTCTATGGCTAATCTCCCAGGAACCAGAAGTGGCTAGAGAAAAGAGGCATCCTCTATGAACACCTGCAGACATACTTTAGGGAGACAGAGAGCACATGCACGAACAAGTGGAGGTCAGAGGAGAACTTTGAGAGTTGGTTCTCTCCTTCTTCTATGTGGGTCCCAGGGATGGAATACAAGCTGTTAGGCTAAGTAGCAAGTGCCTTTTCCCACCAAGCCATCTCATGGGCTCCATTTTGACCTTTTTATTTTTTCTTTTTTCCAAGACAGAATCTTACTATACAGATCTAGATGTCCTGGAACTGGCTCTGTAGACCAGGCTAGGCTCAAACTCATAGAGATCTACCTGCTTGTCTCCTGAGTGTCGGGATTAAAGGCATGCACCACCATGTCAGGTCTCACTTTAATTCTTCTGAGTTCAACAGTCTGTCAAGGCCTGTAGTCATTGTCATTGTTTCCTAAACAGCTCCATTCCCCATTACCTCTCTCCCAGAGGAGGCGGTAATCCTTATAGAAAAGAAGAGAACATCTCATGAAAATCCTGTAACTGGCTGGTGGCGCACGCCTTAAATCCCAGCCCTTGGGAGGCAGAGGCAGGTAGATCACAGAGTTCAAGGCCAGCCCGGTCTACAGAACCAGTAGAACAGCCAGGACTGAGAAACCTTGCCTAAAAACCAAACCAACCAAACCAAAAAAGTGACCTAACGTGACCAGAGCCCCAGTTGCCGCTCAGATCCTCCTGCGGAGGGCAAGGGGCTGGCCTTCAGGCAATGTATATGGTGGAGATGGGTCAGGTGATCCTCTTCAGCCCTACATATCCAGTTTGCTTCAATGATGCTAGGATTAACTGAGCAGAGGGAGCTTACCCAGAGCTGAGTGGCTCCTGGAGCCCAGCTTGGCCTCTAAAATGGGCTTGGCTTCTACAGTGGGAAGTATGTTTAACCACAGCAACTTCAAGACCGTGTTAACAGGTCTGACAGGCTGGGGTTGCCAAGGATACAAGCCTCAGGTGGGATCTACTAAGGTAGCAATTCATTCTCATCATCAAGCCACTGATGCCTCGAATCTATCTATCTATCTATCTATCTATCTATCTATCTATCTATCTATCTATCTATCTATCTGTTGGCTTTTCTGAGACAGGGTTTCTCTGTTTCAGCTAGCCCTAGCTGTACTTTGTAGACCAAGCTGGCCTTAAACTCAGATATATGTCTGCCTTTGCCTCCTGAGTGCTTTGATTAAAGCATGTATCAACACCTTCCAGAGTTAGTCATAATTATACATACATACATACATACATACATACATGCATACATGTGCATGTGTTTATGTGTATAATGTGCATGCTGGAGCCTACAGAGGCCAAAAGATGGGGATCTGATGTGTTAGAATTGGAGTTAAAGGTGGTTGTGAGCTATCATGTAGGTCTGGAAACCAAACCTGGGTCTTCTGCAAGCTGTCTTAATTACTGAGTCATACTCTCCAGTCCCTGACTTGAACTTTTGATGCTCCTGCCTCAGTTTCTAAGTAGCTCAGGTTACATGCTTGTACCACCAGCTCTGGATGATTGCTTGAGTCTACATAGAGGTCTTGGTCTTCCTTGGGGATGTGGGACCGAGAGATGATTATAGCTATGGTACTGATAGTTCCTGTGATTAGGAGGCTTGGGCTTGTGCTGTGGCCTTCCCTGTTTGTTTTCCACTTCTCCCTGACCTCCTACTAGTGCAGCATTGGTCACCACTGTGCAGGCATTAATGGAACACAACCCTTCCTTTCCCTGCTGGATTACTTAGTAATTGAACATAGGTTCAGTTATGAATTAGCTAGGTTATGGAGAGACACTTGAGACATGTAGCTATGACAATGGCCAGACAGTACAAAATGTCTTGGTAGAAAACAACACAGAGAGATCAGGGTGGGAAATCAGAGAGAAAATCAAATGTGCTCATAGTTCTAGGGGGTGCCATGCTTTTGTGCTGAATACCCGAATGTCAGGCTGTCCTTGTGGGAGGAAGAGAGACACGACCAGTGGTTTTAACCATTTAGACCTACACTGCTGGTGGAATCCTTGTGAGACTTGTGATGACCTCCCTCCCCTTCCCTCCAGGGTCCCACAGACCTCAGGCGAAGGACTCCTCCCTGCAGTAACCCAGGTCCCAGATTCATCGACACCAATAGGGTCTTCAGCAAGCTCCTCAGACAGGTCTGGAATCAAGACAGGCTGGTTCCGCTGAAAGATGAAGGGCTCTTCGTCCTCACAGTCAGACTGCGGATAGACCAGGGCATTTTAGAGGACAAGGCAGTCATGCTTTGCCCACCCTGCCCAGGAGCAGGTCTGGGAAGACCACTTCTCTACAAAGGGCCTTGTCCTGTGCTGCTTACTGTAGCCAATTTGAAAACAGGCTTAGCAGCATACCTCCTGTTGGTGAGATGCGGGCTTCACTTTTCACAGGTCGTAAGTATGCTTTACACATAATGGATGCTGCGTTACTGCACACAGCAGATACTGCATTAATGCTAGCGCTGAATAGTGTAGTGAAGAGGCAGCTGAGAATGGAGGCCAGCTCAATTTCATACTGACTAGTTACTTAACACAGGAGCTTTGGTTACCTGTCTCTAATGGAGAGAGGCTGAGGCTGATACTGGCCTGCCACCTCACAAGGGGCTTCACAAGGCAACAGCAGCACTAGGGCACTGTGGCGCTGTCACTGGCTACCTCTTCTGCCTCACTCACTGTGAACAGGATGACACCTGAGTCTCAGCTCTATCACGCTCATCTTTGCAAACGCCCAGGTACAGCACAAACCAGCCATCTTGTTTCTAGAACCCTTGCTCTTCACTTGAAATGTCCTGTGGGAACCTGTGTGCTGAGCCTCTGACCGGTGGATCACCATGTATCCCTCTCACCTGTGTAAATGGCCACTGATACTGTCAGTGACCCCCAAATCACCTCAAGTGGCAGAACCCCTCCTGGACCATACCATGCGGCCTTGGCAAGGTTATCACTCTCAGAGGTTGGAGCTGGCCCTGACCTGACCCAATAGAGTTGAGAGCAGTACAACAGCAGGGCAGGAGGGCTTGGGGGAGAAGATCAGGCTTTGGAACTGAGCCCACCTGGGGGTCAGGACCACAGCAGGAGTGGCCTTGGAGATACAGAGCACTAATATCCACACTCAAGAGTTCTGGCAAACCCAGAAAGAAGCCCGAAGGAAGTGGACACCCAGAAGTAATCCCAGGCACTGATAAGTGAAAACAAAGCCCATAGACCAAAGTGGGGTCTGTAGAGAGGAGTGCCTGAAGCTGTCCTTGCCCAGGCTCGGCAGTTAACAACCTGGAGAAAGCTCTTGCTCACCAGGGACGAGTCTGAATCCAGAGACGGCAGCTGGTCTTTGGCAGCCTTAAGGATGGCATCCCAGGGAGAAACTGGCAAGGACACCACAGCTTTGTCTTTGGATGTCATGGGGGCCAGGACTCAAAGGATGCTCTCTGTGTGTGTCATCATCAAGAAGCCCTGTGGAACACACAGGGTGAGGCGGCAGTGTCTAGGTGTCCAAGGAGAAACTAGCATTGGTAGCCTTCCCCAAGCCTAGATCAGCTGTAGATAAAAAACACTCACAGAATTCCATTTTCTACCTATTTCCTTCTGGTTTTGCAAACTTATGTTACTGTATGTGTGGGTGTGTGCAGTAATGAGTGCACAAGACATTGGTGTCTTCATATATATGTGTGTGTGTTTAATGACACATGTATACAGAAATAGAGGCGCATAAACTGATACAAATGGTATATGTATAGATATATAATATTTATGACTTGGAGATGTTATGTTTGTATTTTAAGAACATAAACACTATTATCTCCATTTTATACACTTAGAGAGGTTGAATTAAAGTTAAGGGAAAGGCTGGGATGAACCCCTTTGGTAGAGCATTTGTCTAGCATATGTAAGATTATGAGTCCAATCCCCAGCATTCAGAAAAGGAATGAGATGGCCCAGCAGTTACGAGAGTCCTCTACTGCTCTGGTAGAGGGTCAGAATACAGTTCCCCAAACCGTGATTACTTGTAACTTCAACCTCAGGGAGAGCCTATGTCTCTGGTGTCCACTGGTACCTGCGCTAGAGTACAGATATACACATACCCATCTTCACACACATACATATAATTAAAATAAAAACTAATAAATTGATATATAATTTAAAATAATTTTTAGAAGTTAGATCCATTATTCAAGAGATTTTGTCTGTCATCACTCAAATGAGTCCCTATAATCCAGTTCCCGGCTCAGCTCCACCCTTCGTAGCTCACCCTAAAAAAAGATGCTCAGCCCTCAGGGGACAGAGGGACTTTACGATTGTGGGGTGAAGGCCAAGCGGACCAGACAGGTCAACTAATGGTGCCGAACCAGGGCAGCATCAGGGGGGTGAGTGGGAGCTTAAGGCCTTTGAATGTTGTAAGCAAGGACGTGTGGTTGACGATCCTGAATTGGGAACCACAGGAACCACGCTTTTGGTATACGCTCCAAAAGATGTTTCATAACAGGGGCTTTGGCGGTAGGGCACAGAAGCGCCGAAGTGAAGGGGGCCGCCCAGGACTGATTGTCAGTGTTTCTCCTTAAAGCCAGTTGGCCCCGCCCCGCGCCAGGCGTCGTTGTCAAGGGGACTGGGAGGCAGCGGGACAAGTCGGCCCGAGTTAGAGCAGAGGGGAGGATCGCACTCCCTGCACCCCGCAGCCAGGACCAACCCGTCGTCGGATGGGTTTCCGCGGTCTCCCACTCGCCTCGGGCCGTTCCGCTCGTCCACTTGCCCTGCGCCCGGGCTAAGCACGGCCACCCACTACCGCCTGGCGACCGCCTCCACACCTCTCCCTCGCCCGGCGCCGCCTGCCTCTCTGCCTCAGGATTGGCTCCTGAGCACTGGGCCGCTATCTGCCATCTCATTGGCTGCTGTACGTGTCAATAACGAGACATCCGTCGCTTTCCCGGGGTGCTCTGCGCCGTCCGACAATTACTTCCGGGGTGGGCCGGGCGCAGGGCTGTTGGCCGGTGAGGGAGCGTGCCGCTGCTGCTGGAGGGTGGCGCGGGAACCTGAGGCCTTGCAGGTAGGCCTGGCCGCGGCTTGGCCCTCTGAGAGGCGGGGCCCGAGGCGCTCTGCGACCGCTCCGGCGGTCAGCCCTGGCGCTTGCCTGTCGCTGGCTTTGGAGACACGGGCCCGGCTCCGTGGTGCTAAACTGAGGGCTCACGCGAGGTACCTGCCAGACTGTCCAGCCACACGGGAGCCTACGGTCGTGCACGGTCGCCGGGACCGCTAGGGCCTGAACCGCGTCGCACATTTGGGCTACAGGGGCTCCTTCGAGGCCTTCACGGATCTCTTGAAGGAGTGACAGTTGCCGCCAGAATAGAATTTTTTTAAAACGAAGATTTTAAAAATTTAAGAGTAACATATCGGTGCTGCTACTAAAATTCTGGAAGCGAGGTGCAGAAGACATAGAAACCTTTATTTTACTTGAATCGATTTTTTGGGTGTTGGTTTTTTGAGATTGTGGGCGTGTCTCACTGTGTACACCAGGCTGACTTTGAACTCACTGAGCTCTGCCTTCCACGTGCTGAGATTAAAGGCCTGTGCCACTAAGCTGGCGAGTTGTATTGTTTTTTTGAGTAAGCATCTCATGTATCCCAGGTTGTCTTTGAACTCAAAGGTGATCCTATTGTCTCAGCCCCCCAAGAGCTGGAATTACAGGTGTGAGCCCTTCTAGGGTTCTGTTAATCTGCTAAAGTTTCCCCGTTTTGGGGAGCATGTGTCCACTCTTTGGCTCAAACGCAGTCTCACCAGTTAGGTACTATGTGAGCTCAGTCTTTGCAGCATGAGAAGCTGGTGTTTCCAGAATGCAGGCCTTGTTTTTCACCTTTTTTTTTTTTTTGTTACCAACACAGAATAATGCTAAAGTGTTTAAGAGCAGGGACTTCCTTCTGGGTTCACCAGAACCCTTGTGGTGCTCTGTATCCTTGAGGCCACTCCTGCAGTGGTCTTCACCCCGAGGTTAGTTCGGCTTAGTGCCGAAGCCCAGGTCTTCACACCCTGCCGTTGTTCTGCTCCTGACTCTGTTGGGTCAGGTTAGGGTCAGTTCCAGCCTCAGACTGACACTTGCCTTGCCGGAGCACTGTGAAATGGTCCTGGAGGGATTCAGCCACTTCAGGTGGCTTGAGGTCAATGCTTAGTACCAGTGACCACTTACCTACATATAGTAGACATGCCTTTAATCTCAGCAAAGACAGGTGTAGCTGTGAGATCAAGTCCAGCCTGGTCTACAAATTGAGTTCTAAGCCATCCAGGGCTACATAGTGGGACCTTGTCTCAAAACAGTGACTGTTGCACAGGTGAGAACAGAATGTGAAACTGAGGCCCTACTCACTGTAAACTGCCATTATCTCTTCTCCTGTTACACCCCCCCCCCCCACACACACACTTTGTCTTATGCAGTGGGGCATCTGATCTCTCCCAGAACTCTTCCTATTCTGTACTAGCTTCCTGTTGCTCCTAGACCTAAGAATCTGCTAGAAAATAAGTGGATAAGGCTTTGGTTTGCATAGGATTACCCAGAATAAAAGATGCCTAACCATACACCTGTCTGCCATCCTTGTGTTCATCTTTCCTACTTAAAAGGGCTGCGTATTGGATTCCTGCTTAGGTAACAGGGAGTGCAGTCTGCAGTCTGCTAGGGGTTTCTTTTCTCCTGTCCTAACTTGTCCTTTCCCTCCTCTTCCTCTTTTTTTCCCCTTCTTTTTTGAGACAAGTTCTATGTGCCCAGGTTGTTTTGTTTTCTTTGTTTGTTTTCCTTTCTGAGTCAAGGTTTCACTTTTGTAGTTCTGGAATTCACTCTAGACCAAGTTGGTCTTGCACTCACAATTCTGTCTCCATCTCCCCAAGTGCCATAATTAAGTCGGGCATCACCACACATAGCCTTCCATGTGGTTTGTGAAGGTGCAAATCCACTTCATTCCTGGCCTTTATGTTTTTTATATATATAAACTTTAAATTTTTGTATTAAATTATGTATGTCTGTGTGTATTTGTGTGTGGACATGTGCATGTGAGTATGTTGGATTCCTCTGGAGGCAGCTGTGAGTTGCCTCATGGATGCTGGGAACTAAACTCAGGCCTCTGTAAGAGCTGTACACGCTCTTAACTGCTAAGCCATCTTTCCTGCACTGGTTTGTTTAGAAGACTTAAAATGATGTGTATGCATGTATCTGGGGGGTACTATGTACACACATGAATGCAGATCCTCAAGGAAGCCAGAAGGGAGTGGTGGATCCTCTGGACCTGTAGTTACAGGAGGTTGTAAGCCACTGGACATGGGTGCAAGGAACTGAACCTGGCTCCTCTGTAAGAGCAATACGAACTCTTAACCCTGAGCCATCTTTCTGGGTCTCACCCTTTTATTGAGAGAGGATCTCTGTGTAGGAAGGCTGGCCTAAACTTGTTATGTCATCCAGGCTGGCCTTAAATTCATGATCTTCCTGCCTCTCTTCCACCTTCCCAGTGCTGGGATTACAGAGGTATGCCACCACACCCAGCTTCTGTGCGTTTGTAGCAGCAACCCTTTAGACATGCATGTCCATTAGTGAGGGAGGAACTAGGGACTGGAGAAGCTTGACACAGAGCTTAGTATTGCTGTACACCCAAGTGCAGCAAATAGTGCTAAGTAACCCAACTTGCAGTGTTTGACTAGCAGTGGAAATGTCATCAGGCTCTGGAGAATCTGATGTAGAACCTGTGGTTATGAAGCAGGTGCAGTAACAGAGTTAATGGCTTCATAGATGTTCCCATCTTCTGTCTGGCCTCAAACTGCCAGCAGCTGTGTGATATTAGGAGGAAGCTAAGTCAGCCGTAGTGGCTTCCGTTTCTTAGGAATTTGAGGTGATAGCCTGCCGTTAGTAGGAGTGTTTCATCTTTGGAACAGCCAGGGAAGAAGAACTAACCCCTGGGCCTCCCTCTGCAGCTATGTCTGAGCTCAGCGATGAAGCCAGCGAGCCGGAGCTCCTGAACCGCAGCTTGTCCATGTGGCATGGGCTTGGTGCACAGGTCAGCCGAGAAGAGCTGGATGTCCCCTTGGATCTTCACACAGCTGCCTCCATTGGCCAGTATGAGGTGGTGAAGGAGTGTGTGCAGCGGTAAGAGGTCGCATCCCTTCGCCTCACATTCTGATTAGCATCTCAGTGGCTCCAATTCCCAACAGGCTGCAGTCTTGCAGAGTTCAAGGTCTTTAATACATATCAAAAAAAAAAAATTTCTAAGTATTCTTACCTGCTTGTTGCAGGTGTGCTTGATGGCTCATTTTCAACTCCTAGAAAAAAGGTACCTTTGATTCTGAGGAAAAGAAAGATGCTTAAAACATGTTATAAATACTAATTTGTAGTTCATTTGAACCAGAATCATTTGGGGGTTTCCTCTGACTGTAGA